AACTGCTTACCTCTGTTTTGTATCTGGTTAGGGACTAAGAACGGGGATGCCTTATCTGCAGCCCAAGGGGACTCACTTTAGTAACTAAAATACCCAAATGATCAACAGCAACAAGCTTGTGACCCTGCGCCTTGCCTGCACCAACGGCTGCTCCTTCCTGGCTTTGAACCCAGGAAGGAAAACACACCCCCCCCCCAGCCCCACGCCTCCAAAAATGGGGGCCCCCAGCCGCCGCTTTTACACAAGACGGGAGCCTCAGTCTTCAGCTTTCTAGCGTTCTTTATGGCATGAACCAGGAACGCAATGTGTTTACACAAACACAAAACAATTGTACATCAGCATCTTTACAATAATACTCATATACAAGTCTACAGGCATTATACACAAGGAGGTGCCGGCCAGGGCACCCCCTCCATCAGTTCTCTGCAGTCCCTCCAGCTGGGAGGAGCTAGGGTAGATGTGACAAGGCCAGGGTGTCCATCTTTTGGGCCTGTTGTCTGGGAGACAGCAGGTCTGCGAGGACCTCTTAGGCCCAGTCATTGTTGGAGCTTGGAGTTAAGAGCACTGGGTACGATTGGGTCTCTGCCTTACTGACAGGCTAGTTGAGTAAATTTAATTAAAACTCCATGTGCGTGAGTGTGGGAAATCTGGAGTTGGGCCAGAGGGTGGCTCCCTGAGCTGGGGACCCAGAGATTGACGGTGACAGATGGGTCCCTTTGTAGAAGGGCCCATTCCTGAGATAAGCTGTGGTGGCCCCATGCTGACTGGATGGGTGGAGACTTCTCCAAGAACCCAGATGTGGACACAGTCAGTTGGGATTGGAAGCTCCTGGACATTGGCAGGTCAGGTGTGCACCAAGTACAGCCTGGGACACAGGCCGTAGCAGAGTGTCAGATAAAAGTCACAGAGTCACTTTCGCCTCCATAGCCCTCCTCCCTGCCGCCCTGCCCCTTGGGGGCCATGCTCCATTTCTGGCAGCACCATTGCCGCTGCCAGCCACGTCTGTCCCCACAGCCCCAGCTCAGCATGAACCTGGGCCTGAATGCTGGCAGGCCATCCTTTGCAAGGTTTGCTCAACATTAGACTGAGAACTGAGCACCAGGTAAAAGCAGCGACGGTCCTTGTTGGCCTTGCCGACCTGTGCGGCCACAGTTAGTTGTGTTTTAAATACTTTAGAAAAATAAGCCATCTCCAACACGACGAGGCCCGCCGGTGTCCGCCAAGCGTGCACAGGAGGAGGATAAGCAGCCGCTCGGAGTGACTGGCCCGGCAGAGGACGCTGTTCCAGGCTGAGGAGCATCAGGGCTGGAAGCTGGCACATAGCTGCAGCCTGGCATCTCTGGGTCACGTGACAGTCCTTCCACCGGCATGCCTCTGGCATCCCTCAACCTGTTGCCATGACACTTCATACTCCCAGGGGTGAGCTCAGACCCTCCCTTCCTTCCCTCAGTCTTGAGCCCACTGTGGAGCGCAAACAGGCAGGACTCCTCAGCACTCTTTCCATGTCCATGGGGCTGCCCCAGGACTGAGGGGGTCTCAGGTGGGCCCTGAGGCAGGGCCTAGGCC